AAGATGAAGATATCCTGGCTGTAGTCTGCAAGGCTGCCTTGTCCCAGCTGTTTTGAATTTTGGATCACCTGGGGTGGGGGGGTCTTGCTTGATCAAACCATGTTAGTTTGGAAAGAATCCACAGCCTTTCATTTTCTGTGGAAACAAAAATAGAAATTCTTTCTCCAGTAATCTGTCCTTAGACTTAAAATTTGAAGTCAAAGCATTTTAAAAATATATAAATTGGATTAATTTAGCAACATTGATAATCAAGTGTATTGTAGTAATTGTTCCTTCCTTAGCAATTGAGCAATTCAAAGACAACACAATAGCATACAGTATCCAGACTCTCTGTGTATTTTCCATTTTTTATGTGGCTTTTTTATTACACTTTTTTTTTTAACTTCAATTTTTTTTTTTTTTTTTAAATTGAGACAGGGTTTTTCTGTGTAATGCTGGCTGACACGGAATTCACTCCATACACCAGGTTTACTTTGAAATCACAGAGATCCGCTGGCCTCTGCCTCCCCAGTGTTGGAATTAAAGGCATGTGCCTCCAATGCCTCAGCTACTCTCTCTTTTTTTAAAACCACTTTATCCTGTTTCTTTTTCTCTCCCAAGCCTACATATATTTTAAAACACACTGTAAACCTCTAGAGGTTTTTCTTAATTTGAATCTGTCTTTACTGTAAATCTTTATCTTTTTCTGACCACCAGTCTTTTATCTGCTAAACAACATTGTTAAGATTAAAGCCACAGGTGTATAAGCCAGGGTCTATCCAAGATGAGAGCTGTGCTGTTACCTTCTGAGTCTAAAAAGGAGACATAACAGCAAGCAGAGTACTCAACAGGACTAAGAAGTTTTGTACTTGTTGCCTTAGTTGGCTTATACCACATGGTCACCTTAATCAAGTTACATTACTTGTATTCTTTAACCTTAGTAAAGATGGCTACCATCTATTATCGCTTCCATTCTGAAGAGGTCTGATATCAGCCAAAGATGGAGGCAAGACATATAGTTGATATTTTGTTTTGTTTTTGTTTTTCAAGACAGGATTTCCCTGTATAGCCCTGGCTCTACAGACCAGGCTGGCCTCTAACTCAGAGATCCACCTGTTTCCCAAATGCTGAGTGGTGCACAACCACCACTCAGCCATAGGTTGTAAGGATGGAAAAATTTGGCCTAACTCTCCCCAGACCCTGCCCTCAGCCAGTAAATAGGCAAAAGGTCACATTCTTGACTGTTTACCACAGCACCTGTGAGTGAGTGAACACAGGAAATGAGCTTTGTCACCCCACCCAAGAGCCTGGGCAAAAGCAGACTTCCTGGGCTAAGCACGGGCTTGGATAGTTCAAATTGATTGGTCCGCACTGGATGCTGTGAGATGATTGGTTTATGATGCGAGGGCTTTGTTATAACCCTATAAAAGCTGTGTCAATCTTGTACCCAGGGTTCCCCAGTCCTCTACCCCACATGGAGTATGGCTGCGGACCCCAGTGCACTGGAATATAAAAGACGCTTTTGCCTCAAGACCGCTTCTCGTGAGTGATTGGGGTGGGGGGTGTCTTTCCTGAGTTGGGGTGTGAGGGTCCACAAGCTCCTTGGGTCTTTCAGGTGCTATTTAAAAACATCTATTTTCCTAAATAAGAGTTGAATTCAAGTTACATATTCAGATACTGTATGCTATAGCAGATCTATTTTTCTAAACAAGAGTTGAATCCCATATATAAAATGCTGTAGCAAATTAACATTACCTGTGCATAGAGTTTTTTAGACACTTAGCCTTTTGTTGTTTTAATTTAGCAGGCAGCTCCAGGGAGACACTCACCCAGTAGAAGGGAAGAGATTAGTTGGTAGAGCAGGTAGGGAAGAAAGCAGCTGAAGAGGGTGGCAGGGAGAGACAGGGAAAGAGGAGCAACTCTTTTAGCAGAGAGATGCCCATGGGTTCAGTACCCAAGAGGGCATAGCAGGCCTCAGGAGCCAGAGAGACTGAGAAGAAACTAACTGAGCAGGCAGGGATAGACAAATGTTTAGAGCAGGTAGAAGAAGTGCCTGGGGGTGAACCCTAAAATTTAAGCCAACTATGGAGGGTGGCAGGTTAAGAGAGGACATAGTAGCCATCTGTAGTAGCCCCACTTTGCAGAGCCAGTTTGTATTATCCTGTGTCTGGGCCTGAGAGAGGGAGTGTGGATCGAGAAAAGGCAGATAAAGACAGGGACACAGGATAGAGTTGGGAGCTCAATCCAGTGAAAATGGCAAAAGGTTTTTTTTTTTTTTTATCAAGATACAAGGAGGAAACAGACTTCTTAATTCTCCAAACATTTGGTAACCACACCTTAGACTAAATTTCTCATTATCTGGCCTTGATGATTAAGAGTAATCACAGCTCAGACGAGTCTCTTGTTATTTAGATATGACCTCTACAACCAAGATCAAACATCCTACAGTAACCACACCTTAGGCCTTTAGGTCTTATGACTTTAACCTTGGAAGAATAAAGACAGTTTTGAACTCTCTGACTCTAAGTTAAGATGAAGCAAAGCCATTTTTATGGGCCCTGACAGAGGGGCTCATATATGTTCCTCCTGGGTTTTGGGCACCAGGCATGTAAAGTGAGGACATGTCTACTCCAATTATGGTTGGGGATAGGTTTTTATTGTAGATATGAGGGAGAATACAGCTAGAGGCTTCTGGAAGAGTCCAGAGCAGAGAAAGGAAGTAGCAGACTAAATATGGCCAGCAGACTTAACTGGTCCTTGAGAAAAAGGTGGGGGGTGGGGAGAGGAAGAGGAAGAAAGGTCCAAGAAAGAGTGGGCAAGAGAATGCGAGAGGGAGAACTAAGAAGGCACAATCTTGAACAGCAAGGTAACCCAGCAACGAGAAACTGGGCAAAGGGGAGCCCATGAGCTGGACAAGTTCAGGGTAGGGGCGGGGTGAGAAGAGCTGAGAAGAGCCATAGGTACTGAGTGGGCCTGGAGGCCTGCATGCTCATAGACACCATGGGTAGCCGTCTGTTCTGAGTTTCATTTGGAGTAAGACTTGCCTTCAGTTAACCTGTCACTTGTCTCTAAGGAGAGACTCCACCAGAGAACTGGATACAGCAATGCCTCCTACAGGGCCTTTCTTTTTGCAGGCAATAATAGTAGACAAAAGCAATACCAGGCAAGATCAGAAGACCAGTTAGTAGGTATAGCCGGTTTCTGTGATCTAAAAGTTGGAAAATCAAGAAATATTTTGGTCAAGAACAAACTTTTTTTTTTTTTTTTTTACGTCAGTCTATGAAAAGGACAAATGGAGAAGCCAACAGTCTTCTTCCTGGCATGGGAGAGGTCTGAAGAACAGGACAAGTTTTCCCAGTGACCTGGGAAGAGGGAACCTCAGATGAGAAAATGCCTATATCCGATTGCCTGTAGGCAAGTCTGTGGGTCATTTTCTTCATTGCTCAAGAGATGACCACTGTAGGTAGTGCCATTCCTGAGAAGTCTAAGAAAGCAAACTCAGCAAGCCATGAGGAGCAAGCCATGGAGCATTTCTTCACAGCCTCTGCTTCAGTTCCTGCCTCCAGATGCCTGCCTGAGTTCCTGCCACATCCTTTCCTGATGGGACTGACTATAATCAGTCCATCATGTAAGCAAATAAAATATGTCCTTTCCTCACTAAGTTGTTTTTGGCCAGCATTTTATCACAGTGATGTAAAGCAGACTAACACAGGCAAGAAAGAAGACCACCATGTTGGCACTCCTGAGAAGAGAAGGGACTGGCCTTGTCTTCCAATTAAGAAGGAGACATCTCATTCCTAAGAGTTTGTTGTTGACTTCTATACAATTTGGTAAAAACACACACACACACATCACACATCACTTAGTATCTCACCCATCTTCTGAACACAGCCGATTAATCTGAGGTGTCTTTACATGGCTGTGCAGCCATCTCCACATCAGTCTAGAACTTCCTTATCTTCCCTTACTGACCTCTGTCCCCAATGGACACTAACCTTCCAGCCTTATCCCCAAGCTATGATTCCCAATGTTCACCTCTGTCATTTTATTGCTCCAGGACTGCCCGGGAGTATAGCAACACTTGCCTTTAGGGCCAGGCTTATTTCACTTAGCACACTGTCTTTAAGGCTTATTATACTGCTGTGTCACAACTTTTTTACTTTTCAAGAGTGAATGCTATTCTCATTGAATATACAGGCTATATTTGTTAGTTCATTTATCTACCTGCAGACCCTGTGTTGCTTTCTACCCTTGGGCTGTTGACACTCACAGGTGTGCAGTGCTGAGCTTATAGGCCAGAGTCACTGTGTCCTAGTTGAATTTTACTGTAATTTTTGGAGCCCTGGGTTGAATTTAGGGCTTCATGCTGAGCTTCAGCCAAGCCCCAATTTTTGCATTCATTGTTAAATAAGGGTCCAGCTTCATTCTTTCACACATGTATATTCTTTTTGCCAACACTATTTATTGAAGAGGCTGCCTTTTCCCTACTGAATGTTCAGCTTAAGTGCCTACTTACTGTAAAGGATTTTTAAAATTCCATTAACACACAAATGAAGACAATGTGGGTATACATGATGATTCAGTCATAAAAAGGAATGAGGCCCTGATAGCATCAACCTACATCAACCTTAAACATGATACTCAGGCGGCTGGAGAGATGGCTCAGTTGTCAAGAGCACTGGCTGCTCTTGCAGAGGACCTGGCTCAGTTCCCACCATGTGCATGGTAGTTCTCAACCATCTGTAACTCCAGTCCCAGGGAATCTGTCACTTCGTGTACACATATTGTGCACAGACACACATGCAGGAAAAACTCTCATACATGTAAAATATTTTACAAGAAAACATGATGCTCAGGAACCCAGGCACAGAAGCTACACATGGTGCCTCTACCTCTCTGAACAATCTAGACAGGCCAGGAGACTAACGCAGATTGACCTGGGAGTGTCAGGATCTGACAGAGACAGAGGTTCCTTTCAGGGGACATGTATTTTGCAACAGATGGAGGGCTGGTATTCAATGTTATTTTGATGTCGACTTTGCTGTGGTGTGTAAATTTTCATTCAATAAGAAAATAGTCATAGTGACTAAAAATAAATCTGTCTTACTTGTAGCAGCCAGACCACACACTGTGTTTGATGTGGAGTTGCATTTCTGGAGGACAGGGACTCCTTGGGGACACCTGCAAAGAGATACCCTCAGTTCTTCCTGCCAATCAACAGCAGAATATGCCCAGAAAGGCTTGATGCCAGCTCCAAACCATGTCAGGCAGCATCATGATCCAAGATCTGAAACAGGGCGCTGGCTACACAGCTGTCACCAGCCCAACCGGCATCTCAGGCAGTATCACGTGATTCTCAATAAATACACAAAATTTACACTTCCCTTCTCCACAGTTCATAGTCTCTTTGGTGGCCTTGGAGTGAAGATTCATCAGGTTCCCCAGGCAACAATACTCCCCAGGAGTGTGGCTTGTGCTGGCACCCCCTAGTGGTTCGAAGACACAATAACAACTCCATCTGACTGGAGTGAGTGCCTCTTATTGAGGGTAAAACCTACAGAATTTTCCTAAAACCCTGCCCTGAAGTCTTTGCCCACACAATTTAACCCAGAACTATCTTCCTGGGAATGAATGAGGCTTTCCATAGCCCTCCCAAAGCCTGATACACTGAAGAACCCTGGGAAACATCACTCAGAGAAAAAGTAGGTGATACCTACTTTCTCTCAAGGGACATTAGCTTTGGGGACGGCTAGCAACAAGTCCTGGACTACCCAGGCCACAGAGTCCCCACCCAACAGTACCCCCTGACAAGGAATGACACAGACTGTCCCCTTCTCTGGACATTAAATACTACTCAAACAGTGTATAAAGCCACTACAGACCCATGCTGCCACATCGTCCTTACTCAGTACACCGGCGGCAGAATTCACTGGATCCTGAGTCAGAATAGAAATTGCCCATTTGGCACTGGCATTTCCGGTCACTGGTGGCAGAGCAATCGGCCACCATTTCCTGGTCTGCAATCCAGGGAAAGTAGGGTTAGGTCAAGGTGAGCATCCTCTAATATGCACATAGACCCCACCAAGCCCCTCCACCCCCCATTCCAAGGCCATCAACTCATTCAGACATCTCTGACATTGCCTTATTTAATTAACTCATTCTTTGCTGAAGAGCTCCTAGTGATCATGTGACCAGACCCCAGGTGGGTCCTTGGGCTCTGGGTACGACCTGTCTTAATTGAGACTGATTCAGTGGCTTATGAAAGAAGATGGGTTTCCCACTTGGGGTGTTCCATTTAAACCCTGTGTCTATAGTTCAGTGCCCCACAAGCATTCAATCTGTGTCACCTCACAGTGCTCTGAAGTTAGGCAGTGTCCCTTCTAGGAGTACAGCAGTGGGCACAGGAAGGGAGGACTCTCAGCCAGCTCTGTGCAGATGTTTTATAGCACATTTCACAATCTGTGACTGTGGAATATGGTTCTGGTTTTGTTGTTGTTTTGTTTGCTTGTTTGTTTGTCTGAGATAATACTTCTCTATGTAGTCCTGGCTGGCCTCGAACTCACAACGTAGATCAGGCTGGCTACACACTGAAGTGATCTTTCCATCTATCTCTGCCTCTCGAGCTCTGGGATTAGAGATGTGTGCCACCATACTCAGCCTGCTTCCATCTTTATGGTTAGGAGATGCAGATGACTACTGAGGCACGGGGTATTGTGGTTTTTGTTATTTAGTTTAATATGATGCAGTGACACAGGAGTGTGTACACATACACACATGCATGCACACACAAAACAGAATTTTTTCCCATAATGCCAGGGAAAAACACAGGTCTTTTGCATACCAGGCAAGCAATCTCACTGAACTGTCTCCACTGCCCCAGCAATCGCTTCCAGTTTGTTTGTTTTGTTTCTTTGAGACAGGGCTACATGTCTCACTATGTAGCTCTGGCTGTCTTTAAACTCACTATGTAGGCCAGGCTGGTCTTGAACACACAGAGATCCGTTTCCAGAGCGCTAGGATTAAAAGCATAGGCCACCTGCTTAAAGTGATTTTGGAAAACTACTTTTATTACATACATTTCCGTACCCTCCCAGTGACTCCTGCAGGCATGTGCCTCTTCTCTCAGCTGCTTTCCCAGATTCACATGCCTGCTTCCCTGCTCTTTAAGGTCTTCTACATGTTTGGGAATTTGCACACATGGAAGGGACAATTTTTCTCATTACCTGCATGTGTTTTACTAGGTTCTGCATTCAATTAACAATTAAGAGAAAATATCTAACTAATGGCAGAAGGCTGTCTTTGTGACTGTGATTTTTATGAAGTTGTTACTCTGAGTCCCTCTCACTCATAAGGAATACTTTTTGGTTTGGTGTGGTTTTGAGACTGGATCTCACTGTGTAGCCTTTGCTGCCCTGGAACTCACTGTGGTCACAGGCTGGCCTTGAACTCAGAGATCAGCTGCTTCTGCCTCCTGTGTGCTGGGGTTAATGTTGCACAACCATGCCCAGATGTAAGAAACAAATTTTAGTGGGGACTCTACAGCTGCATCCTGGCATCCATCAGTCATGGCTAGTCTGTCACAATGCTGGACTAATGTGTTTCTGATTCTATTGCCAGTTTTTACAGATAGACAGTGAATGTCATTCCTAGTCCAGTCTTGCTCAGACACTTACCTTCTCCACAGATGGAGCAAGATCTGCAAAACCCTAGGCCATTACCAGCCTCTGTGAATGTCCCTGGGTGACACTTCTCACACTGTCCTAGGGTGTGGGGGACTGTGCAGGACTCCTGAACAAACTCACCTGTGGATAGGACAGACAGGGATCAGCTTGCTCCAGGCACACATGGGTAAGGACTATGTTACTTTGGGTGGGCTTATGTCTTTAGTACAAGTTCTATTATCTTTGGGCTGTCACAAACTGCTTGAGGATCTGTAAGGGCTGCTGGCTCCCTGAACTGCACTCATTCCTGTGGTTATCTGACCCTTGGAGAGAACCAGGAGTACAATGGGCTCCTCGGACTCCCTGCAGGGTTCAGCTTCTAAGTAACTGACTACTGCCCTTCAAGCCCTATGTCCCCCCTCCCCCCTCTTTGAGTGACAGTCCCAATGTTCTGAGGGGCATTTGAGACCTGGATGGAGTCAGGTCACTTCCATTTACTGCCTTATAAACATGTCACTTAACAAGAAATTTTTTTCTCAGACCTCTATTGGTTGTTATAGATGGTGTTGATACAGGGTGTCACAGTATGGCTCAAGATAGCCAGGAATTCATAGCAACGTTCCTCCTCCCTCCTGCTGGGATTATAGGCTTGAACTACTGTACTTAACTTTCCCTTTCTACTTTTTTTTTTGGGGGGGGAGATAAAGGATCAGTCAATAGTCCTGGCTGGCCTGGAACTCATGGCAAACCCATTGCTTCAGTATCTCAATGCCAGGATTACAGGGTGAGCCACCATACTCAACTTCTTAGGTCTTTCCTAAAAAGCAGGGCAGTTCTTTGTCCTAGCAAATATTCCCGAGACTATTTTGTACCTCTTGATTCAGGCTCTCTGATGCAACCTTAGAAGTGTTCATTCAGGTGGCCCTGGGGAATCTCCTTTCCTATTATTTGTAAAGGAAACTATAAACAACTAATTATATGGAAAACAATCAAGTCCAGAAGGCATGTTTCTCTCATCTGTTCCCCAAAGGACAGCTTCAGACATGACCAGGAGACAGACATGCAAAGTCCACTGTAGGAGACAGACTAGTAGAGTGAGACCGAGACATGACGGGGTCAAAGGTGCTCTGGATGGGCTGTGGCAGTATGGGTCAGGCCTTCAGCTAGGCCTGAAGTGAGTCAAGCCTGGTGGACAGTTGCCTGAATCTTGGTGTTTGGCTCTTGTGTCTATTTTAGTGTGTGTTGGCCATAGAGAGTAAAGAGGGCATCAGATCCTCTGGAACTGGAGTCTTATGTGGTTGTAAAATGCCTGATATTGGTATTGGGAACCAAACTTGGATCCCCTGCCAGAACAATAAGCTCTCTTAATTGCTGAGTCACACCTCCAGCCAGGTTTTCTTTTTGAAGCAAACCAACTTGGAATGAGTAAGTGAGTGACCATAAAGAAGAATGTTAAAGTCAAGCCCTAAATTCTGGGATTGAGGCTGACATGGGTGGCCAGTTTGGGGGACAGAGTACAGTGCCCCTGTCTGCCTGCCACTCTCTGCAGCATTGGCTTCAAAGATAATTGTCTACCGGTATTAGGGGATGACTTTCTGTTGAGGGAATGCCAGGAGGTAGCAGGGGACAGGCTGACACTGACTGGGAAGGGCTGGTGTACACCTTTAACACTCATCTGTGTTCTGTCTCCAGAGGAGTCCCTCTGCTCTGCTCTGCTCCAGGGCTGGGGGAAGAAGGGGAAACTGAGGCTTACAGCTGTAAGTCGCTTCACTCTGGCCCCACATGGTTCTGCCTACATTGAACACAAAATTGCTCAGTTCTAGAAACAGCTGGGACCTGGGCTTTGCAAGGACTCCTTGCTATGCACAGGAGCCTAAGGAACAGGAAACTAAATGATTTATCCGGGGTGATAGAGCAGGGAATTGGTGGGACATGGGTCCAGGGCAGGTTTACTTCAGTGGGCTTGGGAGACTCATGGGAGGGGCCTGCTAAGAGCGCCTCCACTCACCATGGTATGGTGTGATTTCTGGTACATTTGTGTTGACAGACTAGGATCTTGGGCCACCCCAAGTCTCTGCAGCCTACTATGTGTTCCTACATGAGTCATGAAGACCCTATGAACCATGGTGTGGTGAGTTGTCCTGCCAAGATTCCACTGAGTGAAGATGGCAGAGGAGGGGGGGGGGCTGGCTCCTGGCACCTGTCAAAGGTAGGTGATGTTAACCCTTCCAGCTCCCTTTGTTGAACTTTCCTCTCACCTGGGACCACAGCTCATGCCTTGGAGGGTGGATAGGTGGGTGAACCTTCTACCAGTGAGGCCTTGGTAGAAGTCGTCACACCAGTTAACTCTTTTGAACACACAGAGGCTCCTTTGGGGGGGGGGGTGTCTGTGTACCTGGGTTAGAAGCCACTTCCTAGAGTGTGAGAGAGTAGGCAGTGGTTGAATTGAGCTCCCTGGCCCATACCCTCTCCCTCCTCATCCCATACAGCCTCTGGTGTGCTTCAAAGGCCACACATGCCTATGCTCTGGCACTGGCTGCCATTGCAGAACTCACCTGCATTACAGTTCTTACAGCAGTGGCCTCCAGACAAGTGCTCATCGGTGCTGCAGTTGAAGAGGCTCTCACTCTGTCCGGAGAGTTGTTCAGCCATAGCAGTTAACTGTAGCTGGAAAAAGGACAAGGGACATCTTATATTTATTGGTAACTGCAGAGGATGGTCGGATGATGGTGGAAACAGAAGTACCAAAAAAAGGAGCCCCTTGTTGAAAGCATACAGGCAGCAGGGCAGGGCCTATCTGAGGCTATGCTGTAGAAGGCTGGAGCCTGCCACTGTCTGGAGAATGCTTCACAATAGATCACTGTGACTTAGAGGCCAGCTGGTCTACAGAGCTACTTCCAGGACAGCTAGGGCTGTTACACAGAGAAACCCTGTCTTGAAAACAAACAACAAGCCGGGCCTTGGTGATGCAAGCCTTTAGTCCCAGCACTAGCGAGGCAGAGGCAGGCGGATCTCTGTGAGTTCGAGACCAGCCTGGTCTACAAGAGCTAGTTCTAGGACAGCCTACAAAGCCACAGAGAAACCCAGTCTCAACCCCCCCCCAAAAAAAGGCTTGATGTGGTGGTCAGTGATAGGGGATTGAAAGGACAATATCGGTAGAGCCATGGTATCACACAGGCAAATCCAGATCCTGTAAATTAATAGGTGACTCACACTGGAAAAACTGTTTACCATTGTCATGTCTGTGTAAAATGAGGATAGTAACATACTTACTTAGGGTTATGAGATTAAATAATGCATGTAGAACAGTTGGTATGTTCCAAGCACTAAGTGACCTGCCTTGATCTACAGCCTAAACATAAGGGTCTCAAACTAAGAATACAGATCACTCAAACTCTGTACCAAACAAATCATCAAGCCTAGGCCCTCTTCTTCATGTCTGCATTTGCATGCACACACTCTTGAAAATTCTGGAAGCTGTCCTATCCCACATCCCCACTGTTCTCTGCTCTGATCACACTGCTAGCACCCACCTTACAATCTTCAACTTCCTGTGGTTCTGATCTCTCTCCTTCAGTAAGGTTTCTTCAATAAGCAAGAGAAACTCCTTAACTGCAGGATTTCCTGGTTCGTATTTTCGGATCATCTGACAATTTTTCTTTTTGCCTTCTGGTAATCTTGGCCCACTTATTCTGTCAGGAATTCTGTCATTAACTCTTTTTAAGGTTACCAGCATCATTACTTTTCTTGGTGTCATCTTCACTATCACCTGTTGTACCTGACAACTTTTTATCAATGCCCTGAAGGCAATACTCACAATTTCCCCCTGCCTTGCAAGGACTGAATGCTTGCCTGCTTCCCCAATAATTTATTTTAGGAAGGACAATGACCACAGGTCATACCGGATTTGTTAAGATATCTTTATGTTCAGCCCAGTGAGGTGGTACAAAACTTTAATCCCAGGTCTCTGGAGGCAGAGGCAGGTGGATCTCTGTGAGTTCATGGCCAGCCTGGTCTAACAAGAGAGTTCCCAGACAATCAGGTCTAAATTGAAAAACCCTGTCTCAAAAAAAAAAAAAAAAAAAATCTTTTATTTTGAGTACTCTTTGAAGATAGTCTGTATTTTTGTATTTAGTCCATTATTTTTATTTTTGACTTTTACAAGACAGGGTCTCACTACACTGCTCTGACTGTTCTAGAACTCACTACTCACTATATAGACTAGTCTGGCCTCAGACTGACAGGAATCCATCCTCCTGTCTCCCCAGTGCTGAAGTTAAAGTTGTGCGACACTCCCACCTGCTCGTCTTCAAGTCTTCAATCTTTCTTTGCAGTACCTTCTTTTTGTGACAGTATCTGAAAATCAACACTTCTACTTTACAACTTTGTCTAGGTTGTTTCTTGGGATTTCTGGAATAAAAAATGTTGAGCCCAGACTTCTCTGGAGGGAGATGCAGGCATGGAGTTCCAGAGTCCCAATCAGTGAGAGGTCTGGGCTCCTCCCCTCCTGGAGAAGTTCAGGAAGTATTCTCAAAACACTGTGAGCCACCTCTGAGTCAAGGCTGAGTCAAGGCTGAGTCAAGGCTCCATATCTGCTGGGCAGAACGTGGAGAAAAATCCCCAGGAGAGTCAGATAGTGTCTGATTGGTTGTTGCCAAAGGAGCTGCCTAGTAACAGCCAGCTAAGAAGTACTCTTAACCAATGAAGTACTTCTCCAGCCCCACCACCTGTTTTTGTTTGTTTGTTTGTTTTGTGTCCTGTTTCCCCCCCACTCCCCCTCCCACACGGTTCTCTCTCTAGCTTTGGAGCCTGTCCTGAACTGGCCACTCAAATTCACAGAGATCCACCTGCCTCTGCCTCCAGAGTGCTGGGATTGAAGGTGTGTGCCCACTGTAATTTTGAAGAATGCTGATTGTATGTAAATGGTCTCTGACTGCTCAAATACTATCTTAGAACAACCTAAGGTTGTTTTTTTTTTTTTTTTTTGTTCGTGTTGCAACTAAAGATCTAAATGTGTTGCACAAATGCTATATCCTAACAGGTTTATAAAACATGCATCTTTTTCTGCTTGACAGGGTTTCTTTGTGTAGTTTTGACTGTGGCTGTCCTAGAACTCACTCTGTTGACCAGGCTGGCCCTGAACTCACAGAAATATGCCTGTCTTGGCCTCCCGAGTGCTGGGAGTGCTGGGATTAAAGGCACGTGCCACCACCACCCTGCTGTTTTGGTTTTTAAAACAGCATATCACAATGTAACCTCAGCTGGGTTGGAATATTATTTCAGAGGCCAGGCTGAACTCAAAATTGTGGCAATCCTCCTGCCTCCTGAGTATTGAGATTACTGGTGTGTGACACCAAACCAGCCTTAAGTGAAAATTAAGTTGGTTATAACCGAAAGGTCGTTTACAGGGTTGTCCAGTTTTTTTGTTTGATTTTCAGAGTCTTACTGTGTGTAGCTCTGACTAGCCTGAAGCTCGATATGTAGACCCAGGCTGCTTACTAACTTAAATTTAACTGCACTTCATTATTGAAGTGACAATGAGCAATTTTGGGACAGAGATTAGGAAGGCCCACGAAAGGCAGAAGGCAGAGACATTCCTTCTACACGCTTGCTCCTTTAGCAGTAGTTAGCATATTTCTGGACCAGCCTGGCTGGACCCACCCGAGGAACAGAAGACTAAAGGCGTGCACGCGCCTACAACTGCACCTGTGTGTCCCCGCAGGAGGAAAAGAGAAGCCGGGCAGCGAAGCAATTCTTGTGCTTTTGGTGGCTTTTCAGGGAAAAGGCCGAGTGGGATACTTGGCTTGTCCCAGTATCAGGGATACCTTTCTCTAGACTGTGTACGAGGTCACTTCCCTACCTCTGTCCCGACTGCCCGCCCCATCCCCGACTTCGGACTGCTTAAGAGTAGGCGACCTCCCGAGATGCTGATGGCGGCGCGCCACACAGCCCGAGACCTGCCGCCCACAGTCCTGGTGCCGTGACCGGCGTCTACTCACCTGCACCAGCAGATACAACTGTAAACAACGACCCAGGTTGGAGACCGACTCAGGATCGGAGGTCATAACTTTTGCCACAAGTCTCGGCTTACATTACCTTAAAAACCCAGGATGGGGCACCGCCTCTCCTCCGCCCACTGCTTCCTGTATGGTTTCCCAATCTCTGGGCGAGCTGAACAGTGCCTTCCTTTCCGCCACGTTCATGTAATATCTAATTTTCTATAAATGCAGATGTAATTTTAAACACCAATGAAGTTATTAACTGTTGGAAAACTTAAGTACTTGTCCCTTACAGTTTTCTTCCTACCCACTCAGCTGTAGAACTCCGGTGCTCTCAAGGTTGAGCAAACAAGGTTGTTCTCAGAATTTTCCTGTACGCAGTGCTGGTACCTTGATCCCCCAGGTGTGGGTGGTACATGATTTCCTCCTCTGCTTAGCCCATCCCCTGGCTTGGGTATATAAACCCATTACAGCAGCTTCTTCACTTCTCGGGTTCTGTTAAGTGCTTCAATCCCAGCACCCTCCCCCAGCTCCGTACTCTGCTCCTGGGAGGGGCAATTAATAGAATCATATTGTTGCAAGCAGTAGAGTTAGGTTCTCGGCTATATTTTTATTACATTTATTATATTGTTCTTTATTATAGGGAGTTCACAGGGTCCTTCCTCCCAGAGCTCTCCTCCAGGAGTTCCAGCCCTGACTGATCCTTTCTGCTAGCCCCAGCCTACCTGCCCTAACAGCAGAACTGCCACATCTAACAGCAGAGTGGAGAGACATGTCCTGGGTATGTAAAAGAGCTGCACCCTGTTAGCACATGGGCTTTTTAACTGGGTGCCCTGCCTGGACTCAACCCTCAGGGCTGGGTGTGCCTGTCTTTGCCCACTGTGTATGCAGGGTATGGGGGGGGTCGGGGGATGGGGGTTGGCCCTCATACACTTCATCCTTTCCCTTACTGTACCAAACTTTCTCATCTTCCCTCACTGATCTCTGCCCCCAGTGGACACTTAACTTCCCAGCCTTGTTCCCAGACTGTGGTCCCCAATGTTCTCTATTTCACCCAGGAGTACAGCAGCACTTGCCCTTAGGGCCAGGCTTATTTCACTTAGCACACTGTCTTTAAGGCTTATTATACTGCTGTGTCAGAACTTCTGTACTTTTCAAGAGTGAATGCTATTCCATTGAATATACAGGCTGTATTTGTTCGTTCATGCATCTACCTGTGGACCTTTGGCTGCTCTCACCTTTGGGATGTTCAGAAAATGACCCTTCTGAGATATACCCAGAGGTGGGCTGGCTTGCTCCATTGATACTATTTGTAATATTCTGAGGACTATCCATACAACTTTCCACCATGTCTGTACAACTCCTGTGCTCACCAGTAGGGTGTAAGGTTACAATTACTCCTCATCCAAACATTTCTAGTTCTCCTAGCTTGGGTTTTATTTTGTGTTAAATTAGTAACTATCTTCATGGATGTGAAGTGTTTCGTGTGGGGTTTCATTTTCCCATAATCAGCAACGTTGAGCACATGCTCTGTTCTCTTGTGGATCTTTTTACTGGACATGGAGGTGCATGCTTGTAGTCCTAGCATTTGAGAGGCCAAGAGAGGGACTTACCTAGGCCAGGATTACCTCAAACTCAGTATATAGTTCCAAATAACCTTTAACTTCCTTCTTCTACCTCTACAGCGCAGGGAGGACAGGCATTTACCATTTGCTGGACTTGAATCCAGAAGGGTCCAGCTTCACTCTTTCACACTGAGTCATTTATTAAAGAGGCTGCCTGTTCCCCCACTGAATATTTGGCTCAAGGGTCTATTAATAAAAACAGAAATCAAGGGGACTGGAGAGATGGCTCCATGGTTAAGAGCACTGTGGGACCTGGGCACCCACACAGTGACTCAGTCACTTTTAACTCCTGTTCCAGGGGATCTGATCCCCTCATCTGACCTCCACAGGACCAGGCACACATATGGTGAACAGACATACACTTGAGGCAATAACAATCATAATAAAAGTGAATAAAGATCTAAAAATTAAAAATATAGAAATAAAATCTTTCTTTGCATATCTGTATGTGTATGACTGTTTTGCTTGCATATATGTAAGTGCACCATGGAGTCCTGAAGAGGGCATTGATTAGATCCCCTGGAACTGAGTTAGAGATGGCTGTGAGCCATCATGTGGATAACTGGGAACAGAACCGAGGTCCTCTGTAAGAGTAGCAAGTACTCCTAACTGTGGAGCTACCTCTCCAGCACAGTGTGTATGTTTTTATAAAAGGCCTGAAGTCTGTATCACAGCTCCCCTACTGAACCAGTTTATTAAATTTATAAAGAAAAAAAGAATAGAGTGCAGGAAGGGCATTCCAAAATTCCAGGGTGTACGATGGTGCTGAGAGACAGGACCTAGTTCTGCATGGGCCCAAGATGCAGAAGATAAGGAGAGGGGTTCAGGGCTTCCTGTCCATACCAGAAACAGATGTCTGTGGTATAAGCTGGCCACCTGCAGGCACCCATGCTCTAGGATGACTGGCTGACCGCCTCATGGAGGCTCCATGAGCAGCACCCACTTGTGGAATCCTGAGATGGGTGAAGGCAGTCCCACTTGACTCTTCTTTGCCTCACCCTCTCCTGGGTCCTGAGGTGGGGAGGCATCCTTGGTGTCCACTCTTATGGGTGCTGCCTGGCCACCTTATTCCCTATGGTCTCCATTATCTTCCTTGTGTTGTTAAAGGCTACAGCTTGCCTTTGAGGTGGTGCGGGGTGTCATCAACCGCCTAGGGCTACTCTGGATGCCTCCAAGCTATCTGAGCATACAGAATCCTCTCAGCAAGGCCACACTGGCAACAGCAGGCTGCCCAGTCTGAGCCTCTCCTTTATAATGACTTAAAGAAAGGCCCTCATCCCATCCCTCACTTTCCCAGTCCTGATAGCTTGCTTCCCTTGGCAGGCAGCATCCTTTCCATGTCCACAATTGCTCACTGGCCAATGGCTGGAACTCCAGCTCCCCAGGGCTCCAGCTGGGCTGCCTTCTCATTCCACACTGTGAACCTGCACCCCACCTTCTGGAGCCCTTGCTTGGTACCTCAAGACAGCCCTGTTATACTGGTTTTCCATTTCCCCAGAAGTTTTTCCTTGTTCTCAAGGACACCCAAGAAGAGAACATATATGTATTTCCATTTATTTCAAGGCATGGAGCAGACACATCCCCCAGGCGGGGGAAGGAGAAAGACAAATGGATACAAAACTTGAAAGGATCAGTTACAGTGGAGATGGCACCAACAAGGTATTAAGGCTCCGAATGTGAGTACGTGTAGGTGCCCGTGCGTATGCACACACACCCACAGAGGGCCATCCACACAGGGTTGGGGGCCAGATGCAGAGGCTGGTCACTGCACACAGCTGCCTGGAATATTGCAACTATATGTATTCAGAATGTCAACAGAATGGGAAGACTGTGTTGGTCAGGGCATGTGGTAAGCTTGAGTCTCCCTGGCCTTTGGGGACACCCCCTGGGCACTTTTTCTTGCTTACAAGCTCACACTGCCATTGGCCAGGGTATTTGTGGGCTCTTCTGGCTATGGGGCTAATGTGAGTACAGTAAGTCCCTGAACAGGCTCCTGTCCAAACAGCTTAATAACAGGATAAAAGTCCCAATGTCCTCTCCAGAGCAGATACAGCCTGTTGGTGCTTGAGTGGGCAGACTGCCCAAAAGTCAATGTCACCACCCGGAAGAGCCCAGGGAAATCCTGGAGGCTTCCTTCCTGTTGCTCCTGGAAACCTCACTTTCTCCTGCATTCCAATGGGTGGCTTTCCAGAGCCTGCACAGGCCCTCCTGACCCCCAGATCTGATGCCTTGTGGCAAGTGGGGACTGGCTTGAGAGTGGCAACTTGGGAGGACCAGGGACACACTGAAACCGTATTTGGCTTTAGCATTAAGGCCGGTGCTAGGTGGAGGGCCCCGTGGGAAAGGCCAGCGCTCCCTGGAGGGTCCTACAGCTGAGGTCACAACACTCTCATAGCCCCCAGGCCCCACTTGTCATCCTTTTATACAAGGACCATTCTGTCCTAGTGGCCATGCCTGTGGGCCTCACTGCCTCTATGGGCTGGTGTAAAGTGCTGGGTGCCTAGGAGGGAACCCTGCAGGCCGTGCCTGCAGATCCCAAGGGCTCTTATTTGAGGATATAGTTAATGAATAGCTGACATGTCAGGAAGATGCAGAGCAGAAACCAGGAGCGGGGGTTCTGCAGGAGGCTAGGGGCCGACGGCTGCCCGGCACGCACTGTGGAGCTCAACATGGCTGAGAGGTGCCTGCAATGATAAGGGCAGAGGCTGTGTCAACACCAGCATGGCCACCCTCCCAGCCTACAGGGGAGTCTGAAACAGGATGGCATGTCTACCTGCTGGGAACATGGCTACAAGCGTGGGTAGGGAGCTCATTAGGGAGAAGGGTCCCAGGGTATCAATCATGGGACAGGAGGGTCTGGGCTTGGGGAATAGGTCTCTTGTATCCTTCCTGCCACCCTTGGGATGGTGGCTGAATGGTGTCTTCCTCAAACCTGTGCTGAAGTCCCCTGAGCTCTTTGGAGATAAGATCTCTGAAGAGGTGGCTACATTAAAAGGTTCACTAGGATGTGACCTTAATCTAGACTGGGACCCTAACAGGGGATCAAGACAGAGGCATACATACATCAAGCCAAGTACAGGGCACTGAGAAGGGCTAAACCTGAGACTTTCATCTTGGACTTTAGCCATTAGAATGTGAAATACTGCCAAGCAGTGATGGTGCACGCCTTTAATCCCAACACTCATGAGGCAGAGGCAGGTGGATCTCTGAATTTGAGACCAACCTGGGCTACAAGAGCTAGTTCCAGGACAGCCTCCAAAGCCTCAGAGAAACCCTGTCTCAAAAAATCAAATAAAGGAAGGGAGGAAGGAAGGAAGGAAGGAAGGAGTGAAGTACTCAGTGTCTCGTTTGTTGCCATACCAGGCTGTGTGTCAGCCAGTGGCATAGGAACAAACTCACCAAGCTTGAACTCTGGTATCTGGGCTCTCTGTTTCCTCTGGC